GGTTGATTAAAATAATTTCACAAAAGCACAGCAATGAGCAAACAACAAGCATAATCAACTCTTTTACATTTCTTTTAAAAACCAACACCGACTGTAAAAGTTCTACTAATAATGAAAATGCTACTTAGATTATCAAATAATTAACGTCATCTATGCAATAAGTCCATATAGTGATGCCACTCCAGAGGACATTAAAATCATAAGCCCAGCAATTGATAATGTTCGTTTGAAGAACTAACAACAATCTTCAGCCTAAGAGTGAAGAAAGGTTTATTTGGATTGAATATTAGAAAATAGAGATTGAAAATTGTGGATCAGAGAGAGGTTTATTTGACTTGAATAATAGAGAATAGAGATTGAAAATTGAAGATTGGAGTTGAAGTATTTATTTGTTTCAAAAGGTAAGAAAGAGAAACGACAAACATAAAATTGAAAAAAAAAATTTAAAAAAATAAAAAAAATAAAAATGAAGGAGGAGGAGGAGGAGAAAATTTTTGGAATAATTCTGCTCCTCTCGGGATTGGAAACAGGTGCTGCGTGTTTCCCTTTTTTTTTTTAAATTTTTTTTCAATAATCAGTTAATAATTATTATTTTATTTTTTAATAATCAGATAATACTTATTATTTTAGAAAATTATATATCATTTCTCTCTAATCTCTCTTTCTATACCCTCTCTCTATTCACTCTTACTCTTTATCTACAATGCATATCTATAAATTCTTCTCTCTCTCTCTCTCTCTCTCTCTCTCTCTCTCTGTGTGTGTGTGTGTGTGTGTCTCTCTCTCTCCCCTTCTCCCACACACATTTTTTAGACCAACATTTCTTCAAACATCAAAATTTATATTAAAAAAATGGTGGATTTGAATTAAAAACGAAAATGAATTTATCCCTGATGCAAAGTAGATCGTCGAGGCTTTGAGATAAGCTCTAGATTTCATTTCGACATCCTAAGTTAGTGTCACAGAGTTAATGACGATATCCAACTAGACTTTCTTGCCTCATAAGGCTTCAAGAGCTGCTCCAAAGAGGTTTCGAGCTCAAAACACGAATTGCTTCTAAAATCAATAGAGAAGGTGGTGAATTTGAGGTGGAGGAGGTAGTGGTGATTGGAGATGGTGATGGTGAATTGAAGGTGGCGGTGACAAGAATTTGGGAATTGTGGGGGTGGGGCGGGTAGGATGAGGTGGATGTGGTGGTGTGGATTTGAGTTGAAAGGGTGGTGGTGGTGTGAATTGAGGTGAAGAGGTGGGGGTGGTTATGGATTTAAGGTGGTGGCGATTGATTTTGATGGTGGTGGTTGAGTGGGTTGGGTGAGTGATGTTAAGTGTTGTGAACAGTGTCTATGACCAATAAATTGGGTAATTTGTGACTAAGCCTCTATTTGGTAGCCATTAAAAAGATTTTTCTTTTGAAAAATGAGTATTGGAATAGTGATTTTTTTGGAAAATGTATGATTTAAAAGTAAGAAAAATTTGGATTTACCTACAAAATATTTTATAGTATGAATATGATTGAAAATAAGTTTAAGAAAAAGAGTTGTTTAAAAAGGGTTAATTTCACAAACGGTCACTGAAGTTACCAAAAAAATATAAAACGGTCACTGAAGTTCCAAGCGGTTTCACTAATGGTCACTTAAGTTTAAAAATTTTCACAAAGGTCACCGAAGCTACCGAAATGATTGGAATTCAAACTTAAGGACCCAATCACGAGACCATACAATATTTGAGGACCTCAGGCGCAAACTTCCGGTAGGTGGAGCATTTTCTAGGAAGGTAATGAATTGTGATGATATTGAAACACCACCTTTGGACCACCACAACTCCAACCTCCGACCACCTTGGCCATCGGAATAACATACCAACTTGAAGCCCTCACTTTACTCTTTCCAATTCACCCAACCAATGGCCGAAACTCCATCAGATCTGCCTGAAATTTTCGGTCAAAGGAGGCTACCCAACCAATGGCCGGAAGGTGGTGAATTTTGAGGATTTTGAGTAACCCCCTTTGGACCACCACATCTCCAACTTCCAACCACCTTGGTTGTCGGATCAACATACCACCTTGAAGCCCTCATTTCACTCTTTTCAACTCACCCAACAATGGCTGAAAATCCATCAGATCTGCCTAAATTTTTCGATCAAAGAAGGCTGCCCACGCAGCCAAAACACAGTCGAAAATCCAGGCTGCCCACCCAACCAAAAAGGGCCAAAAAATGCAACTTTCGATAACACCCACCACCAGCCCACCCTCTAGCTCGACCAGGATCATCATCATGCACCCAAAGATGCTATTATAACAACGAACAATTCAAAAAATTAATATCTCCAGCCATTTTTTACAATGACGAACTCAGAGCATTCAGCCCCAATTTTTGGTGCCTAAGACACTACCCACAGTCATGGACCACCACCCCTAGGACTACTTCTTCATGACGCATCCAATGAACCTATGGGTCACCGCCAATTTCGAACCAACATGGCTCAATCGAAAAAATTGGTCCCAATTAACACAGCCAATGACCACATACAGATCTACCTCCTTTAATTCCTCCTCTCCACATTATTGAATCACAAAATTGGTCCCAATCGAGTCTCCAGCAGCATCATACAACCATGGGTAACAGTTCAATTGCACCAATTAGTACATTTCAAGCTACTGGTGTTGTCGTTCAATTACCCACGTTTTAGATTTTTCATAACAGTTCAATTGCGATTGAGGTCCACAAATATTTCATGGTCTCGTGATTGGGTCCTTAAGTTTGAATTTCAATCATTTTGGTAGCTTTAGTGACCATTTGTGAAAGTTTTTAAATTAAGTGACCATTAGTAATACCGCCCAGAACCTCAGTGATTGTTGTTGAAAGTTTTTTACCGCCCAGAACCTCAGTGATTATTGTTGAAAGTTTTTAACTTCTGTGACCACTTTGTATTTTTTTGGTAACTTCAGTGTCCGTTTGTGAAATTAACCCTTTGAAAAATGACAAAACAAGGGCTAAATAAATAATGTGTCATATTAAATGTGTGATTTGTGACTAAAGTACGTGATTGTGACCCACATTTTTTTTCTTGTTATTGTGACTTTATGTGATCATGACTCTAAATTGTGTGCTATTGTGATCGTCACAATATTTTATCTGAGACGACAAAATATGACTACCTAATTTTTTAAAAATTTCCAAAAAAGTTTGGTATTTTTGAAAATATATTTTGAAACTTTTGTAATTATGTATCTTTCCAACTTAGTATTTTATTAGATATAATTTTACCATTTTAGAGTTTCTTATTTTACTGACTTCGAATTCAGTGGGAAAAAATAAATAAATAAAAAATAAATAAAACCCTTGTTATATAATTTCCTATTTCATCTTGAACGTTACTTTCTTGGTGATGGCTCACTTGAAGACCATATCCAGATTTTACGTAGACATTTTTAAAGCCCTTGATGTAAGGTTCGAAATCTTATCTTTAATGTTGTCTACTCTAAATTTCAATCCATTGATTTGTACTAAACATGCTTTAAATTTTTTAACAAAAAACAAAGTAAATGACAAATATCTGTATAATAAAGCGCCCAGATTGCGGAGCATCACCAAAAAACAACTGAAAGTCATGATGGGACGTTAGGTTTCGCATCAGAGTCCTCTTCATCATCATCCTCATCATTATAATCCTCTTCCTGCCAATATGTTGCAAGTAGCTTCTTGACAATCCGGCGTATTTTAGGGTCATCATGAGTCTGGAGGTCCTTAATTTTCTGTACACCCCCAGCATCTTTAATCATCCAAGCAAAGACATTCATATCTTCAGTGTTGTCTTGGTTCTTCTCGGCTTCTCCAACTTTCATAATGTTCTCAAGGAATAACAAAGAGTGCGTGATGATAATCACTTGGTTGGGACTAACTATAAGATCGCAGAATGGCTTTATACAACCCTCGTTCACCAAGAACCTGCCACCAAGATGAAGCATTAATACTCATCCTCAATGTACTGTACAATAAGCTAGGGGAATATGACAATAGCTGTGAAGAATTTACTTTATTTGCTCATTAGTTCCCTCTGAGATTGCTAGAAAAACCCTACAAGCTTCTTCCTGTACGAAATGATCAGCATTTTGAAGCAGTTTGAGAAGAGGTGAAATATTACCAGCCTCAATCAAAACCTGTGTATTAAGATGACATATCCTCAGTATCCATTATTTTAAGAGATAAACCGAAAACTTAAAGCAGAAACAGAAGTACAAATGTCAAATTCATCAAACCAGAAGTACTACTACGATTCAAAACATTGTGAAACATGGTAAGAGAATGTTCAAAACAATAATTTACTGGTAGAAACTAAAAAGATCTTCACTCTAATATCATTCCTAACACCTCTACAATTGGAAAAAAAATGCTTATTTATCTCAAGGCTTTAACTAATGCATTGAGTAATACCACAAAGGAAAAAAAATTTCATAGTGTTGAAAGTAATGTAAACTTGACCAAGAGAACTCTAGAAATAAAAGGAAGTTCAAAGATATCAAGTTGATGACTTAGTCAAATTCAACTTGATTAAGCAAAAGTTTTTATTGGATAGAAGAATTTTATATGATGAAGGAAAAACTTGTCATTGGTCGAGAGATTTTAAAGAAGTTACGTAATCATCTTGAACTCTTCTTCTCTAAAGGAGGTGGAAGTTACTTAAGTATCTTGAACTCTCCTTCTATAAAAGGATATGGGATAAGGTTACTTGTCCCAATTGACTTCTTCTACTAAAGGAGGTTAGGGAGTTACTTGATCATCTTGAACACTTCTTAGTTTTTTTTCTATAAATAGGTGTGTTGGCATGTATTGTAAACCATCGGGTAGAAGAGAAATTGTAAGGTTTGTATAAGAGAGTTGTGGAGAGAAAATAGCTCTATTGTATGAAATATATGTTGTAAGATTTATGAAAGTTTGTTTATTTGAGTGAAAAAGTGATATTCTATCACAACTTCTACCCATCTGTGGAATCAGAGCCAATTTAGAATAAAAGAGAGTGATAAAATCCTTGTTTCCAATTAGATATGGCCTCTTCATCTAGTTTTTTCCAGCCACAGCTACCAAGGCTGACAAAGGAGAATTATGAGAACTGGAGCATACAAATGAAGGTGCTCTTAGCATCCCAAGACCTATGGGATATGGTGGAGAAAGGTTATACAGAACCTACGTCTAAAGCCGATGAAGATGTATTAAGTGCAGCTGAAAAGGCAACACTCAAGGAAGCAAGAAAGAAAGATCAAAAGGCCCTGTATCTAATATATCAGACAGTAGATGAAGGAAATTTTGAGAAGATTGCTTCTATTACAAACGCAAGAGAAGCATGGGATGCACTTCGAAATTCATTTCGAGGTATCGAAAAGACAATGAGAATTCGCCTACAAATGCTGAAAAGCAAATTTGAAACATTGGAGATGCTTGATAGCGAGTCAATCTCGGAGTATTTTACTCGAGTCCTCACTATAGTGAACAATATCAAGTGCAATGGAGAAAAGATCCAAGATTTACAGGTAATAGAAAAAATCCTTCGTTCTCTAAATTCGAAGTTTGATAATGTAGTCATAGCAATTGAGGAATCCAAAAACCTCAGTACTATGACTATTGATGAACTATTGGCTTCTCTAGAGATCCATGAACAACGGATTAATAAAAAAACATCATCAAAATCTCTTGATCAAGCTTGCAATCAAAGCTTTCTCTTCAAGAAAATAAAGGAGATGAAAGAAATTCACGAGCAAGTCGAGGAAGGAGCCAATTTCAAAGAGGACGAGCTTTCAATAATAGAGGAAGAGGAGGAAGATTTAACATCAACAGTGGACATGAAATTCAACAACAATTTTATCAAAGAGGAAGAGGACAATATAGAGGTCGAGGTAGAGGACAAAATAGAGGACAAGAAAGATGCAGAAATGGTATTAATCATCAAATTGGTGACAAAAGGAATGTGCAGTGTAATAACTGTCATAAGTATGGACATTACAGCAATGAATGTCATGCAAAAATTGCTGAAGTTGAAGTCGGCGAAAATACCAACTTTGGTGATACAAGTGAGCCAAAATCACTAATATTGATGGCTCATCATACAACAGCAGATAATGAAAATATATGGTTTTTAGATACAGGAGCAAGCAATCATATGTGTGGGAAAAAGCATATGTTCACGGAGCTTGATGAAACCCCGCATGGCCATGTCTCTTTTGGCGACCTCTCTAAAGTTCCAGTAAAAGGAAGAGGTAACATTTTAATCAAGCTCAATAATGGTGGTCATAGTTATATTACTGATGTTTATTATGTGCCAGATATCAAGCATAATTTATTAAGTCTAGGACAGCTCCTAGAAAAGGGATATGACATTAGTCTAAAAGACTCCCGCCTAATAATCAAAGATGATCGTGGATATCCAATATCCCAAGTACGAATGTCTAAAAACAGAATGTTTGCTTTAAATATTCCTTATGACTCACCAAAATGTTTAAGTGCCATTATAGATGATAAGAATTGGTTGTGGCACTTGAGACTTGGACATTTAAATTTTGAAGGATTAAGATTGCTATCAAAGAAAAAGATGTTGAAATGGTTGCCAAATATTGATCATCCAAATTAAGTTTGTGAAAGTTGTGTTCTTGGCAAGCATGCAAGAACAAATTTTGCAAGGGAGACAAGTTGGAGAGCAAAGAAGCCACTGGAGTTGGTCCATACAGATATATGTGGTCCGTTGAAGCCAATATCAAATGGACAAAACAGGTACTTTCTTACATTTATTGATGACGATTGTAGAAAGACATGGGTATACTTTCTCAAGAAAAAGTCAGATGCTTTGAATGCATTTAAAGAATTCAAGTCCAGTGTTGAAAAACAAAGTGGCTATCACATAAAGCTATTGCGGTCAGATCAGGGAGGAGAATATACTTCTGATGCATTTAAAAGCTTTTGTAATTTGAATGGCATTAGACAACAGTTCACGCCAGCTTATACTCCCCAATTGAATGGCGTAGCTGAACGAAAGAACCGCACAATTCTCGATATGGCCAGAAGTATGTTAAAAGATAAGAAATTACCTAAAGGATTTTGGGCTGAAGCAATTTCAACTACAGTATATTTATTGAATCGGTGTCCTACCAAGAATGTTCGTGAAGTAACACCTGAAGAGGCTTGGAGCACATATAAGCCTAGTGCAAATAACCTTCGAGTGTTTGGATGTATAGCTTATGTAATGATCCCAGAAGCAAGAAGAACTAAACTTGATGACAAAGGGCAGAAATGTATTTTTATTGGCTATGGTGATAGGATAATGGGATACAAGTTATACAATCCCATTACAAAAGATATTATCATGAGTCGAGACATAATCTTTGAAGAAGATAAAGCTTGGAATTGGGAGAATGCTAAAGACGTTGAGCAAGTTCGTTTAATTCTTGAGCAAGAACAATTTCAACCACCAAATAGTGGAGCAAGCGGCACAAAACAGCTGTATCTAGCTCACCCACAACATCAGAAGATTCATCATCTTCATCAGAATCATCCTCTGAAGAAGGGCCAAGAAAGATGAGAAGCTTGAGGGATATTTATGATGCTACTAAACAATAAGGTGAAACATATGAATTACTTTGTTTATTAGCTGACAGTGAACCACTTTCTTTTGAAAAAGCTTCAACAGAAAAAAGATGGCAGAAAGCAATGGATGAAGAAATTAGTTCTATTAAGAAGAACAACACATGGAAACTCACTGAGTTACCTAAAGGAAAAAGGCCATTGGAGTAAAATGGGTGTACAAAATTAAAAAGAATCCAGAAGGCGAAATTCAGAGGTATAAAGCAAGGTTGGTTGCACAAGGTTACTCTCAAAAAGCAGGAATTGATTATGGAGAAATATTTGCACCAGTTGCACGCATAGAGACAATTCGATTGTTGATTTCATTAGCTGCACAACACAGATGGAAAATTTATCAGCTTGATGTTAAGACAGCATTTCTAAATGGATATCTTGAAGAAGACATATATATCAAGCAACCACCTGGATACATACAAGAGGGTCAACTAAATAAAGTTTATAAAGCCCCTCGAGCATGGAATACCCGTATTGACAATTACTTTAAAAAGAATGGGTTTATGCAATGTCCATATGAACATGCAGTATATGTAAAACAAGAAAAAGATGGAGGTACACTATTTATCTGTTTATATGTGGATGATTTGATTTTTACAGGCAATAATCCATCCATGTTTGAAGCCTTCAAAGAAAATATGATGAAAGAATTTGAGATGACCGATATTGGATTGATGGCGCACTTTCTAGGGATTGAAGTTAAGCAACAAGAAGATGGTATTTTTATTTCTCAAAGTGCCTATGCAGCAAATATTTTAAAGAAATTTGGAATGGAGAAGTGTAATCTGGTTACTACTCCGGTTGAAACTGGACTGGAACTCCGCAAAAATGAAGATGGTGATGTTGATCCTACATATTTCAAGAGTTTAGTTGGAAGCTTGAGATATCTAACATGCACTAGACCAGATATACTATATGGCGTAGGATTGATTAGCAGATAAATGGAGACACCAGACCAGTCCCATCTTAATGCAGCAAAAAGAATACTCCGCTATCTTAAAGGTACAATAAATGAAGGCTTACTTTATACATCCACTAATGATTTTAAGCTCACTGGTTATTCAGATAGTGATTGGGGAAGAGATATAGATGAAAGGAAAAGTACAACTGGATTCATATTTTTTATTGGAGAAACTGCATTCACATGGTCATCTAAAAAGCAACCCATTGTTTCTTTATCCAGCTGTGAAGCTGAGTATGTTGCTGCAAGTTCAGCTGTATGTCATGCTATCTGGTTGCGCAATATGCTGACATATTTGGGATTTTCTCAAGAAAATTCAACTGAGATTTATATTGATAACCGATCAGCAATTGCACTTGCAAAGAATCCAGTCCATCATGAAAGAAGCAAACATATAGACACACGTTTTCATTTTATTCGGGAACACATAAAGATGAAAGAAGTGGAGCTACTACCATGCAGAACAAATGATCAAGCAGCAGATATTTTTACCAAGCCACTTAAGCATGATGTGTTTGTCAGACAGAAATTTATGCTTCGAATGGTCAAGTTTAAGGGGGGATGTTGAAAGTAATGTAAACTTGACCAAGAGAACTCTAGAAATAAAAGGAAGTTCAAAGATATCAAGTTGATGACTTAGTCAAATTCAACTTGATTAAGCAAAAGTTTTTATTGGATAGAAGAATTTTATATGATGAAGGAAAAACTTGTCATTGGTCGAGAGATTTTAAAGAAGTTACGTAATCATCTTGAACTCTTCTTCTCTAAAGGAGGTGGAAGTTACTTAAGTATCTTGAACTCTCCTTCTATAAAAGGATATGGGATAAGGTTACTTGTCCCAATTGACTTCTTCTACTAAAGGAGGTTAGGGAGTTACTTGATCATCTTGAACACTTCTTAGTTTTTTTTCTATAAATAGGTGTGTTGGCATGTATTGTAAACCATCGGGTAGAAGAGAAATTGTAAGGTTTGTATAAGAGAGTTGTTGAGAGAAAATAGCTCTATTGTATGAAATATATGTTGTAAGATTTATGAAAGTTTGTTTATTTGAGTGAAAAAGTGATATTCTATCACAACTTCTACCCATCACATAGTAACTGGCATACCTCAATATGATCCTTAGTACGCCCAATGATACTTGAAATTATGTAACAAGTAACCTTCTTGACCCTGTTGGTATAATTTTGTGTCAACAAGTTAAACAGGCAAGGAAGAGCCCCTTTATCAATGATAACCTAGAAATCATTCAAAAGAAGCAAGGATGTAAAAATGATAACACAGCTTGAGATCTTTAATTACGGATTTAGCATTGAAATTCTTATTAGAGTTCTTCTCTGAAAGTGGTCAAAGAGTGTAAAAGGTTGATTTCTCATCTAAGTGAAAAAAAGGGTCATCAAAGAAATGGGTTGTCTCCTTATATTTTCACTAAAAGTATTTTCCTAGTCAAGGAAGATTCTTAGTGTCAAAATGGCATACCCAGATATACCCTCATACAACTTGAAAACCACAAATATGGTTCTGCACAACGAATTCAATGTAGCTACAAACTAAAAGATGATCACAAAAGAATAAGATCAATGCCACGGCAATAGGATGGATTTCAGAAATGTAGCAACACACTAGATGATAATCGCAAAAGAATAAGAGTGATGCCAAAATTGAACAGCAATAGAATTGATTTTAGAAACCAATAAACATCTTTTAATTATCACAAGTCCTTAAAAAATTGATATGAAAAACAGAATCCTATAACAACAAATTCATGTGCTTAGAAAGTTGAGAAAAAGAGTCACACCTGAATCTGGATATCATCTACTTCTGAAATAATATTACGAACAATAAACAGGGCACTAATCAAAACAAGCGGTGAAGGATATCTGCAAACAAATAAACCAAATAAGCATAGCCATGAAGTTCAATAAACAAAAACATAGTCACAAAACAAAAAACAAGGAACGATATCAAGTATGATATTTTTACTGACAGTATAAGCTCAACCAAATGAGTGAAAACACCAGCATCGATCAAAACTTGGATTGTATCCTTTACCCGATTAGTTAGAACGAGTAGTGCCGAGCATGCACATATAAGGACTTGTTTATTGCCTGTATGAATCAGATAAGCAAGAGGACGGAGGGCAAATTTCACCTGTTTATTAATATCCAAAAGGAATTGGTTAAATATATAAATGTCCAATAGTATTTATATGTATCAAAACGAACAGAAAATCAATTAGATGACAAACCTGCTCGAACTGAGGTGGTGGCTTTTGAAGACAAAGTTTTGACAATGTCCTCGTTGCTTTCCTCATGATGGATAGTTTTGCTTTATCATTAAATTGAGACAATAAGGGTGTTAACACTCCATAACTAAGGACAAGATCACGAGATTTTGCTGAGTCACTGGCAAAATTTCCTACAGTTGGATATTATGTCAAAAGAAGCCACAAAATAAAATTCAAAGCTCGTATTAGTCTTTATCAATTTGTAAGAAATTGGA